AGGTTAGAAAATTCTCCCTCGGCTGCAGGGGGAAATTGTGGAACCGCAAGGCTAAAAAGAGGTTTCATCCTCGACTTACAACTATTTGTTTAGTGACTGTTCGAAGATACAGCGGCACTGGAAAAAGTTACTGGTGATACACTTATGGCTAAAATGATGAGAGAGAGAGAGAGAGAGAGAGAGAGAGAGAGAGAGAGAGAGAGAGGAGAGAGAGAGAGAGATGGTGGGAGGGAGGGAGGGACGGAGAGAGAGAGAGAGAGAGGGAGAGAGAGAGGGAGAGAGAGAGAGAGAGAGAGAGATATGGTGGGAGGGAGGGAGGGACGGAGAGAGAGAGGGAGAGAGAGAGAGAGAGAGAGGGAGAGAGAGAGGGAGAGAGAGAGGGAGAGAGAGAGAGAGAGAGAGAGATGGTGGGAGGGAGGGAGGGACGGAGAGAGAGAGAGAGAGATTAGATAGAGATAGATACGATAGATATGATAGATACGATAGATGATAGAGATAGATAGATGATAGAGATAGATAGATAGATGATATAGATATAGATACAGATAGATACAATAGATAGACGATAGATAGATACTTATTTATTTATTATTTATTATAGATAGATACAATAGATAGATGATAGATAGATACAGATAGATAGATGATGGTGATAGATAGATAGATAGATAGATAGATAGATAGACAGATAGATTATATAGATAGACGATAGAGATATAGATAGATAGATAGATAGATAGATAGATAGATAGATAGATAGATACAGTAGATGGATGGATGGATGATAGATAGATATAGATGATATGGATGGATGGATGGATGGATGGATGGATGGATGGATGGATGATAGATAGATATAAAGAGGTAGAAAGATAGACAAATTATATAGAGATAGAGAAAGATAGAGAGATGGTGATGGAGATATATATATAGATACACACATACATACCCACTTTTAAACCTTAAGCCATCTTTCAGTCAGAACATCTAATAAATGTACATATTCTGGTCCTTTTGCTACACACCAAAAATTCCAGTTTCAGAAAGAAACGACCAAACAGTCTTTTCCCCCCCTTCTATTTCCCACTCCTTTGGTGCAATCCGGAGGCCAGCTTTCATATCGCCGGTGCAATTTTTTAAAAAAAGAGCATTTATTCCAAGCACACATGAAAGCAATTTCTTCTTGACCTATTGGTTTTCCCTAAAAGACGTGGATTCTTAGGTGCCTTAGAAGGCTTCACCCCCTCCACCTGCTGCTATATGCTACAAATCTCCCCCGTTTTTGGCACACGCGGTTATTAATCCCGGCCCATTAAAACGTGGAACATATGTTTTTTTCTGTCCCTCTTCCTCCTCCTGAGATCCTCACTCTTTCACCAGAGCAGCAGAAGGGTGACAGGGAACATTTTCCCAGCCAAATAATATTAGTTCCAGATGCCTCTAAGCCACACCACTTTGTAAAAAACCGCACACCTCCGATTTTCAAAGGCAGAGATTATTCCTGCCATGATCTAATATTCCAGCTCGCAGGGAGACCCCACATGCAACTCGTCCAGCAATTAAGGGGTTGGGGGAAATTGCCTGACATACACCTCTCTCAGCTGCACACTGTTAGTAGGGGACTAGCTTACAAAGTAGTAGATCCGACGCATTGTTGCAATGCATCTGTACTTCCGGAGAATTGTTGTGACCCAGGCCCAAGTAAGTAGTAGGAAAATCAGTCAGTGAAAAAAACAAACAAACTTTATTCAAACAGCTGAGAATGACTTTATTCCCAGCGTCGTTCACCTAAATTAAAGCAAATTCCTCCCAACACAAATTCCTCAGTCCTGTCGCAAACCTTGGTCCAATCAATCAATCAATAAATAAAATTAGGCAAACTGCCCAAGGCCTTTCTTGGCAAACGTTCAGAAGTCCCAGATACAAAAATAAATACAAGACACGGACGAAGAAGACGACGAAGCTACCAAAGTTGTTTTCCGGCCAAGCCCAAACGCCGTTGCTGGTTTGTTTTAACCCTTATGGGAGGGGCCAATCATCTCCTGGCCTTACTCCTGAGTTGTCCTCTTTGCTTGAGCTGCTCTTGCCTTGTGGCAGCTCTTCTCATGCGTGCATTAGGAACAGGCTCCTCCTGTTCCTCTGCCTCACTCCTATCAGGCTCTGGAGTCCGCACCTCATTCCCCGATGGTCCTGGCCCCATCTCTGCCTCTGACGCAGAGCCCTCATCCAGGCCTTCCCCAGTCTCCAGGACTGGCCCATGTTCTTCCTCAGCCTCATCGCTGTCCGACTCTGCTGCCAGCTCCGCAGGATGCTGGCGGACCACAACAAGAATGCTCAGAAAGATAAATCTATTTCGCCATCTACTACTGTCCTACTATTGCAGCACCATTGAGAGTGTCCTGACATACGGCATTCTTGCATGGGATGGGACAGGGGTGAAATCATCTTTCTTGCTCTCCTCTGCACTCTTTCCAAATTTTCTACATCTTTGTTATAATGTGGTGACCAAAACTGGATTGATTGATTGATTGATTGATTGATTGATTTTATCATATTTGTATACCGCCCTACTCCCGGAGGACTCAGGGCGGTGAACAGCCAAGATAAAAATACAAATAACATACAAAAGTTAAAAACTATTAAAAATAGATTAAATAATTTGGGCTCAAAAAACAAGTTTAAGACATCCAATTTATGTAAAACATTTAAATGCAGGATGCAGGATATCCAGGCAGGGCCTTACTTGCAAACCATATGCAATCAATGCATTTGCTACATGGGTGAGTTATATGTAGTATACAATGTAGTATAGAATATTCTGTCCGTTGGAGGCTATCTCCTCCAGGTAGCAAAACTCACAGGCACCAATCAGAGGGCACAGGGGGGGCAACTTGCAGATTTGTCTCTCTGTGCCACTTTGCCGAATTGTCTAGGAGAAACAACTCCCCAAATGTGCAACAGCAAAGCTTTTTCCACAGAGGAGTTTGTACAGTGAATGAAGCAGAATACATGACACCTTCTGAAACTGCCTTGGCTTCTGTTCTCCTTTGGCAGAAACCCTGCATGAAAATAAACTTGCATCTGACTTTCCCCCAAAAAAAGAAAGAAAGAAAGAAAAGTAAAAGAAAAAAACCCTTTGGGACAACAAAAATATCACATGGATAAATACTGCCCTCTGGATGCATTGAAGGGAAAAAACTCAGCTACACACAAGTGTTATAAACAGATTCCATTCTCTCTCTCTCTCTCTCTCCCTCCCTCCTTCCCCCTCTCTTCCTCTCACTTTCTCCTTCATCTCTCTGCTTCTCTCTCTTTCTCTCCTTCTCTCCCTCTCCCTTTCCCCCTCCCTCTCATTCTCTCTCCTCCCTCCTCTCTCCCTCCCTCCCCCTCCCTTTCTCTCCCTCTCATTCTCTCCTTCATCTCTCCACTTCTTTTTTCCTCTCCTTCTTCTTTCTCTCTTTCTTCTCTCCCTCTCCCTTCCCCCTTCCCTCTCATTCTCTCTCCTCCCTCCTATCTCTCCCTCCCACCCTCTTCCTCTCATTCTCTCCTTTATCTCTCTTCCCTTCTCTTTCTCTCTCCTTTTTTCCTCTCCTCTCTCTCTCTCCCTTTCCCCCTTCCTCCTCTCCTTCTCTCTCCTCTCTCTCTCTCCCTCCCTCCCCTCTCTTTCCCTTCTCCCTCTCATTCTTTCCTTCCTTTCTCTCCCCCTCTCTTTCCCTCTCTCCTTCCTCCTTCCTCTCCTTCTCTCTCTCTCTCTCTCCCCCTCCTCTCTCTCCCTCTCATTCTCCTCTCTCTCCCCCTCCCTCTCTCTCTCTCCTAAAATATTTTAATTTGTCTACTAAACTCCCCACTGTCAGGTCCTTTCATCACAATCCCTGGTAAGACGCCGCATATTTTTCTGGGCTTCCAGAACGTACTGAATAACCGTCTCGCTCAGCAACCAACATTTTAGTCGTAATTCGAGGAACAACTGCAGTTGTTTATTGTTATCTAATCTCAAGTTTCCTAGAGGTTTTTCCCCTCCCACTTCCCTGCTTTTTTTCCTTTTAGGTGAAATATTTAAGTCCACAATCATGTAGCTGAAGAGCGGGTGTAAGCCTCTAGGTGTAAATATAGAAATAAGGTAAGGAGGAGTTGGGACCTAGGGAGCTTTCAGAGGTAGAAGCAGGGGTGAAATGCTACCGGTTCGGACCAGTTCTCCCGAACCGGTAGTAAAAAAAATGCTACCGGTTCGGGCGAACTGCTATTTCCGATGATCAGCTGGGTGACGATCAGCTGTGACGTGCGATTGATATTAGCTAGAATCATCGGATTTTCTGCTTTCTAGCTAATCTAAATTGTGTGGCACAGCGGATTCCCCCTCCCCTCACTGTTCTACTTACCTTTGCAGACTCGGAAGGCTTCAAAATGTTCCTTTTTTTTTATTGCAAAAGTTTTACAATTACATTTTCACCCCACTTTCCCCCCCCCCCCCCCCCCCCCCCCCCCCCCACCCTGCCCCCCCCAAACCCTCCCCCTCTGACTTCCACAGAATATAATCCCATCAAAATCCCCTTTTTTTATGAAAACTTGAACCCCTCAGGCCCCCTTATAATTTTTTCTCTCTTCACAATTCATACATTTCTATTTCTATACAACTTTTAGTGAAAAACAATTTGATACTTCCTAACTTGGTATTTTTTCTGCACATAATCTATCCATTTTTTCCATTCCCATTCATAAGTCTCTTGTGAGCGATCTTTTAAATATGCTGAAATCTTCGCCATCTCCGCAAAACTGGCCATCTTGAAAGTCCATTCCTCGATAGTGGGCAAAGCTTCATTTTTCCAATATTTACCTATCAATAATCTCGCTGCTGTTATCATGTACAATATCAACTTAGTTTCATCCAATGTAAAACCCTTTACTATACCCAATAAAAATGTTCCTTTTTTTAACGCTTGTGTGCGCGAAGCACAGGCTCGGTAGTGGACTTACAGAACCGGTAGCAGACTTCCGAGGATTTCGCCGCTAGGTATCAGGTATCTACTCACCTGTATACAGGTCGGTGTCTGTGTATTCATCCACCTTTTTGTGATGCAAGATGTAATCGGAGACTTTTGTCCCAATGGCTGGTTGGACATCATACCACTCCAAGGAGACCACGGTGCTTGAAGGTTCCACGTTGGGAGAAAGACGCAAACTAGACAGAATAAGGGATAAGAAAAAAAGGAGGATCGGGTTGAAAATCAACTTTTTAATGGTGCTGGAAATTGAGACAGATGGGTGCAAAAGTTTGTTTTGGCAACACACAGTCATTCTCAGAGTGACTGGCCTGGCCTTCCAGCCTGATATCTAACACGGTTTCTCCTTGGACACAGCCGGGATGGAAACAGATTTGATTTGATACAATTCCCGCAAAAGCAGACGTCTCTATTTCTTGCTGCAAGAAATACAGTCATCTTTGCTTCTTCTTTTTCTTTTTTTTCCCCCCTTGTTGGTTTGTTCCTTTTTGGTGCTAGAAGAGAGTGGGGGTTTCCTCTCTGTTTATATTGAGCTCCTTCTACCACTGATGATGCTACCTAGTTTGGTAATAAAACGTCGGCGAGCAAATAACCAAGTTCAGAGAGAACCATCCTCCTCCTCCCTGCAAACCTCACCTCCTTCTTATTTAGTTAGGTCATGAAACCTCTGCAACAAAACCACCAAGCTCAGAGAGGACCAAGGACCCCACCTTTCTCCTTCACCTTCTCCTCCTCCTCCTCCCTGCAAATGCCACTCCCTTCTAGCACTAGTGAGGTTCCCTAGTTGGGTCATGAAACGTCTTCAAGAAAACTACCAGGCTCAGAGAGCACCAAGGACCCCAGCCTTCTCCTTCTCCTTCTCCTTCTTCTCCTCCTCCTCCCTGCAAATGCCACTCCCTTCTAACACTGATGAGGTTCCCTAGTTGGGTTATGAAACATCTGCAAGAAAACCACCAAACTCAAAGAGTACCAAGGACCCCAGCCTTCTCCTTCTCCTTCTCCTCCTCCTCCCTGCAAATGCCACTCCCTTCTAACACTGATGAGGTTCCCTAGTTGGGTCATGAAACATCTGCAAGAAAACCACCAAACTCAAAGAGTACCAAGGACCCCAGCCTTCTCCTTCTCCTCCTCCTCCTCCTCCTCCTCTTCCTCCTCCTCCTCCTCCTCCTCCTCCTCCTCCTCCTCCTCCTCCTCCTCCTCCTCCTCCTCCTCTTCCCTGCAAATGCCACTCCCTTCTAGCACTGGTGAGGTTCCCTAGTTGGATCATTAAACGTCTTCAAGAAAACTACCAGACTGCCCTACAAATATTCTTCTCAATTAATATTAAAGACTGATGCCAAAAAAAAATGGGGCAGGGGATATTTTGGCTGGATAAAAAAAAAGAAATGCAAGCAATACTGGCCCTATTGGGAAAGAGATACTCACATAGGCTGGGGAAGTGGGCTGCAGCTGGGGAGGCCATTCTCATCAAAGGCATTAAGGTCGCATCTGCACCAATCTTCAATCACATCTCCTCTCCCCGAGCACCAGTAAGAGCTCATGAGGGCTCCCTTGAAGGCCTAGGAAGAAAAACAACAACAACAGATAAATGGTTTGGAGTGAATGGATGGTTGAGGAACTCAATGACAAAAAAACGGTCAGTTCTACAGAAAGACAGATGTTGTGGAATGACTATGGAGATTCTCCATCATCCAAGGTCCCAAAGAGGCAATTGGGACTTTCTTGATTTTCTTTGAATGCTCCCAAGAGCATGAAGCAGACAAATGAGAAGTGAAATGTCTTCAATGTTTCAGACTCAAAGACAGTGAGGAGGTTGGGGAGGAATATGGTCCTTGATGCTCTCTGAGCTTGGTGGTTTTCTTGCAGATGTTTCATGACCCAACTAGGGAACCTCACCAGTGCTAGAAGGGAGTGGCATTTGCAGGGAGGAGGAGGAGGAGGAGGGAGGAGGAGGAGGAGAAGGAGGAGGAGGAGGAGGAGGAGGAGGAGGAGGAGGAGGAGAAGGAGGAGGAGAAGGAGAAGGAGAAGGAGAAGGAGAAGGAGAAGGAGAAGGAGAAGGAGAAGGAGAAGGAGAAGGAGGAGAAGGCTGGGGTCCTTGGTGCTCTCTGAACTTGGTGGTTTTCTTGCAGACATTTCATTGCCCAACTAGGGAACCTCACCAGTGCTAGAAGGGAGTGGCATTTGCAGGGAGGAGGAGGAGGAGAAGGAAGGAGGGAAGGAGAGGGAAGCAGAGGGGAGAAGGGAAGGGAAGGAAGGAGAAGGAAAGAGACGGAAAGAGATGGACTGTCATCGTAAAATGGAAAATGTGATGAATTATAAAGGAAAATGTATACTAAAAACATTTTTTTATAAAAGCAGAAAAGAAAAGAAAAAAGTAAATTCAGACTTCCAAGAAAACAAAACTGTAGTGGTGCCAATTTTGAGCACAAGAGTGGAGATCCTTGTTTTGTGGCCTTGGGCCACGAAAAGGAGATTTCTTTTTTTAAAAAAACCTCAGAATCAAAATAGTTCCAGCCCTTATGGTGTCTTTGCAGAGTTGGGGATTGACCTGATGAGTTTCGGTCTGAAAGAACCTATACCACCGAAGCTGGAATACAAGGAATGACACAAACTCAAATAAAGCGCATGATGAAATCCCAAATGAGGTCTTCGATCCCTTTGGGAATCTGACCAGAAATGATCGTGTAGGCTAATCGGATCACGTCTAATGTCATTTTCTTTCTTACGGTAAGTTGGCCTCATCTTTAATCAGATCCTGAGGATATGCAGGGACAATTACGTCTTGCCTCAACCTTTCAGAAACGAAGTTATTCCTGCAACTCATCCATCAACCTTCGTTCTCTCTCTGGTCGGAGTGAATTCGTACTACAGGCCTTAATAGGGGTTATATCAGGGGGGGAAATGCTCCCGGTTCGGTCCGGTTTGCCCGAACTGGTAGCGATGGCGGCTGGTAGTTCAGAGAACCAGTAGTGATGGCGGCACGAAGCTCCGCCCATCCGCCCGGTCATTACTTCCTGTAATTAACCTTTTTTTTACCCTCTGCACATGCGCAGAAGAGTTTGCACATGCTCAGAAGGTCCGCGCATGCAAGTGACACACATGCACGCATGAGCAAAGCCAGCATGCGTGCATGGCGTGTGCACTTCCGAACCGGTTGGGAAGGTAAGTAGATTTTACCCCTGGATTATATGGTCACACACAAATGTCCATTGCTCCTTCCTGCTGTCTTTCCATTTGTTGATAGTTATTGAGCAACTGTTGACGTCAAACACATATAAGAGAGAAGGGCGGTTGTAGGAATTGAGTAGGTCTACTCTGGTGGGGGGAGGAAAGGCCTATGGGTGACATGTTGGCAGTCTTTCAATATTTGAGGGGCTGCCGGAAAGAAGGAGGGGGGTCAACCTATTCTCCAAAGCACCTGGAGGCAGGACAGGGAAGCAACGGATGGAAAGTAACCAAGGAGAGAAGCAACCTAGAACTAAGGAGAAACTTCCTAACAGTGAGGACAATTAACCAGTGGAAAAACTTGTGGGTGCTCCATCACTGGAGGTTTTTATGAAGAGATTGGACAGTCATTTGTCTGGAATGGTATAGGGTCTCCTGTCTTGAGCAGGGGATTGGACTAGAAGACCTCCAAGGCCCTTCCAGCTCTGTCTACTCTACTCTACTCTACTCCACTCCACTCCAGTCCACTCCACTCCACTCCACTCCACTCCACTCTCCACTCCAGTCCACTCCCACTCCAGTCCATTCCATTCTATTCTCTATTCTTACAAATATTTACAAATGAGTGGGCTTTAGTGGAAACCAGCAAATGCAATGCAATGCAATGCAATGCAATGCAATGCAATGCAATGCAATGCAATGCTATGCTATGCTATGCTATGCTATGCTATGCTATGCTATGCTATGCTATGCTATGCTATGCTACGCTATGCTATCCTATTCTAGGGGTGGCATGATAGCAGTGCTCCAATATTTGAGGGGCTGCCACAGAGGGGGATCAACCTATTCTCCAAACCTTCTGAGGGCAGAACAAGATTAGATCTAGACTAGATGGAATGAGATTCCATCCTTGATTAGATGGAAACTCATCAAGGAGGGAAGCAACCTAGAACGAAGGAGCCCTTCCATTTGCTGATAGTTATTGAGCAAGAGTTGACATCAAACACATACAAGAGAGAAGGGCGGCTGCAGGAATTGAGTAGGTCTACTCTGGCGGGGGGAGGAAAGGCCTATGGGTGACATGTTGGCAGTCTTCCAATATTTGAGGGGCTGCCGGAAAGAAGAAGGGGGGGTCAACCTATTCTCCAAAGCACCTGAAGGCAGGACAAGAAGCAGCGGATGGAAAGTAACCAAGGAGAGAAGCAACCTAGAGCTAAAGAGAAATTTCCTGACAGTGAGGACAATTAACGAGTGGTACAACTGGCCTCCAGAAGTTGTGAATGCTCCATCACTGGAGGCTTTTAAGAAGAGACTGGACAGCCATTTGTCTAAAGTGGTATAAGGTCTCTTGCTTGAACAAGAGAGGGTGGACTAGAAGACCTCCAAGATCCCTTCCAACTCCGTTACACTGGTCTGCTATTTTGGAAAAGATTGGAGTGGGGAGGGGGGTAGTGTGCTAGCTGAACCGAAGGGAAAGGTTGAAAGAGCTGGCAGGGCTGGAGATGATGATGTTTGCTTTTCCTCCGACTTTTTTTGAACAACTGGACGTAGCTGGGAGTGTGAGGCCAGGCAGGGAAGGATCCCAAGGGAGACATTTGAGATGTCTCAGTGTGAAGGCTTCGAAAGTTCAAAGCAGGGTAGTAGAGAAGGGCCCTCCGTCTTCATCAGGTGGTTGTTATTCTTAGTAGATTTTCCCATTGTTATTGTTTTTGCTGGGACTTTCCAAGCCAAGGATCCCATAAACAGTAGAACCATGTTTCCTTCAACGGAGACAAAACTGGCTGCAGTTACATTCTCCCTGATCATACGAGAGTCTCCTCATTTTAGATAAGAGTTCAACATTAAGAAAGCAAGGAGTTACTGGGAGAAAATTCATAATTGGTTAGAAATGAGCAGCATATTGAAATATGAAGGCTATTGCTTAATGCATTGTAAGCCGCCTTGAGTCCCCGGAGAAGGGCGGCATATAAATCAAATTAAAATATATATATATATATTGAGTTCAAACCAGAAACGCACCTTTTTAGGTCTATTGTCGGAAAGTTATGACAAAGCATATTTACTTAGGGTTACATATATTGAGGGCAGCTAGAATTACAAGAAGGGACGCGGTGGCTCAGCGGCTAAGACACTGAGCTTGTCAATCGAAAGGTCGGCAGTTCAATGGTTCGAATCCCTAGTGTAATGGGGTGAGCTCCCGTTCCTTGTCTCACCTTCTGCCAACCTAGCAGTTCGAAAGCACATTAAAAAAATGCAAGTAGAAAAATAGGGACCACCTTTGGTGGGAAGGGAACAGTGTTCCGTGTGCCTTTGGCGTTGAGTCATGCCGGCCACATGACCACGGAGACGTCTTCGGACAGCGCTGGCTCTTTGGCTTTGAAACGGAGATGAGCACTGCCCCCTAGAGTCGGGAACGACTAGCACATATGTGCGAGGGGAACCTTTACCTTTAAAATTACATATGATAAATATTGGGAAAATGCGAACAACCCACTGGATGACGAGATAATTAGGAAAATTTGGGATTGTGCTGAAATGGACAGATTAACTTTAAAAATGAAAGATAAAGGAGACTCGAAATATTACAGGACATGGAATAAATTTTAGGAATGGATAGAGACAAGAGGTAGAAATGAGAGGGAAGTTTATGAATGTCAATTATTGTTAGTGTGGACAACAAAGATGTATAAATCTATGGATATTTTATTGATTGATTGATTGATTGATTGAATTTATATACTGCCCTTCTCCCCGAAGGGACTCAGGGCGGTGAACAGCCAAAAATTAAATATGGAGAGATTTGTAAATAAGCTAATGTAAGTAGAAATTTAGTTGAAGTTTTCTTTTATTTTCTCTTTTATTTGAGGGGTTGTACTACTGTAATTACTGTTAACATAGTACAGTTGTAGTTATTAGCTTGTATGTTAAGATTTACCAGTGATTTCTCTCTGGCTCTGCCTTATTTGCATTATTATCCTGACATGGCACTGTCTTTTGATATGTGGATAAAGAAATAAAGGCAAAATATAAATTTGGTATACAATTGTTTGTCCTGAAAGCGACTGTAAAAATACGAGTTCCAGGTATATTATTAAAAAAAAAGAAGCAGACATACTGCGAAGTCCAGAATTTAAGATTTTAAAATCTTAAAAGAATTAAAATTTTATTTTACTAAGCTTTCGTCAGCCATCTGCTGACATCGTCAGAGTATTAAACTACCATTACAGAGATCTCTGCCTTTATATGTCCTTAATCAATTTAGATTAATAAATATATTAATCTAATATATTATAGAGAATATATATACTCTGTTAATCTGTCCTCCTCCTCCTCCTCCTCCTCCTCCTCCTCCTCCTCCTCCTCCTCCTCCTCCTCCTCCTCCTCCTCCTCCTCCTCTCTCCTTCTAGCACTGATGATGCTACAAACTTTGGGTCATGAAAAATCTGCAAGAAATTGGGAAAGTGGGTGAAATAAAACTGATATGGTATATGGTGATAGATTAGGCTATATTGGAAAAGGGATATTATTGCAGAATGGATTCTGAAGGTGGCCAGTCTCGCAGAAATGGTGAAGTTATCAGCATATATAAAAGACCGGACATAAGAGATTTATGTAAGGGAGAGGAGGATATGGATAGATTATGTGTAGAATAAATACTAAACCTAGGAAGTACCAGATAATTCTTAGATGAATGTTGTCTAGAAATGTATAGTTTACAGAGGATAGTATACTAGAATGTCAGGATAAATGTATAATACACAGGGGGTAGAATAGATGGGCGGTAAAGTATTATATAACGTGATTTGGATTTCATCCTGGGGAAGCCATGGGGGGGGAGGGTAAGGGAGGGCTAGGGAAGGAAAGAGGGGGGGGAGGAGGAAAAATTTGTATTTGTAAAACTTTTTCAATAAAAATAAAATAAAAAATCTGCAAGAAAACAAGCAAGCTCAGAGAGCACCAAGGACCCGCTCACAAGTTTCAGGACAGCCGTCGGTGTCATTTGGTAGTACAGTGGTTTAATGCACCCTGTTATTAACACAGCTGCCTGCAATTTCTGCAGGTTCGAATCTTACCAGGCTCAAGGTTGACTCAGCCTTCCATCCTTTCTAAGGTAGGTGAAATGAGGACCCAGTTTGTGGGGAACAATAAGCTGACTTTGTATAAATATACAAAAGGATGAAGGCTATTGCTTAACGCATTGTAAGCCGCCCTGAGTCTCCGGAGAAGGGCGGCATATAAATCAAATTTTAAAAAAAAAGAAAAGAAAGAGAAAGAAGGAAGGAAGGAAGGAAGGAAGGAAGGAAGGAAAGAAAGAAAGAAAGAAAGAAAGAAAGAAAGAAAGAAAGAAAGAAAGAAAGAAAAGCTGACTTTGTATAAATATACAAAAGGATGAAGGCTATTGCTTAGCGCATTGTAAGCCGCCCTGAGTCTCCGGAGAAGGGCGGCATATAAATCAAATTAAAAACAAAAAACAAAAAAACTCCTAGAGGGAACAGGACAAGCAAGGACGAGATGTTGTGAGAACGAGGATGACAAATCGGGAAATATGGATCTGGAGAAGTTGACCTAGGAAGTGTGAGGCAACCTCTGTATAAACATCCTCATCGTGAATCACAAGTGTGTCATTTATTACCAAAAAAAAGTGGAGAAGGAAGGGGGTCCCTGCGATTTCATTAGATGCGAGAGAAAGGTCCCATCGAGTGCAAACGTTATTTGCTCCTCGCGACATGAATGCTGGTGAGCTTTTGTACATATTAAGTTGACTTCACAGCAAAGCAAAGATGACCGTTTTTCTAACATTGCCCCTTTTCTAAGGTTCACACCCACCCCTCCTTTTGTCCAGCTGTTGGGACTCCCTAGAGCTTTGAGATCCTGAGGTTCCACCTCTGGATGGATGTTTCAAGGCTGTCCCAGAAGAGGGGCTCACAAGGGGAGAAGGCAGCCAAGCTGAGCAGTTTATGCTGAGTTGAGTGTTATGGAGACAAAGCAGAGGGAACACACAAGGCAGAATTGGAAAGCCCAGGCAAACATTGACGTCCTGTTGGCATCACTCTTCTTGGACAGGTTATTTAGAGCTCTCCAAGTTGTAGCAAAGTGGGGAAGACGTTTCCATAATCAGTTTGATAATCTTCTCCTTCTCCTCCTCCTTTTCTCCTTCTCTCCTCCTCCTCCTTTTCTCTTTCTCCTTCTTTTCTCCTTCTCTTCTCCTTCTCCTTCTTCTCTACTCCTCCTCCTCTCCTCTTCTACCCTTCTCCTCTCATCCTCCTTTTCTCATTCTCCTCCTTTTCTCATTCTCCTTCTTCTCTCCTCGTCTTCTCCTTCTCCTTCTCTCCTCCTCCTTTTCTCATTCTCCTCCTCTTCTCCTTCTCCTCTCCTCCTCTCCTTTTCCTCTTCCTCCCCTTCTCCTTCTCCTTCTCCTCTCCTTCTCCTCCTTTTCTCATTCTCCTCCTTTTCTCATTCTTCTTCTCCTCCTCCTCCTTTTCATTCTCTTCCTCTTCTCTACTCTTCTCCTCCTTCTCCTTTTCTCATTCTCCTCCTCTTCTCCTTTTCTTTCTTCTCTCTTCCTCCTCCTTCTTTTCTCACTCTCCTCTTCCTCTCCTCTTTCTCCTCCTTCCCTCTTCCTCCTCTTCTCCTCCTCCTCCTCTTCCTCCTGTCTCCATGTAGTGGCTCAGGATGCTTGTTATGAATTATCCCTGACTTCCTCTATCGTCATCGGATATTTTCTCACCCAGTAGATGAAAGGTTGCTATTAAAGGGCAAATGATGTGCTGAACAGGCCAGGCCAAGCTCTCAAGAGAACCACTCAACTACTCTTGAGAGAACTACTTCAAGTTCTCTTGAAGAGAACTTGCTTTTAAAGCAGGAGAGAAAACACAAAACGGGAGAAAGCGGGGGGGGGAGCCAAATTTTCCAAACAAAACACATTCATAGGTTCTGTAGGAGGCCAAACATGTGATATCTCTCTCTCACCAGGCTAAGAGCTAAGCTTTCATTGGAAGGAGACAAATGGAGGTGGAAACTCTTGCTTATGAAAACACGGCGAGGACAGTTCCTATCCCATTTTTTTGTGTCCCTAAAAAGAGGTCCTGTGAGATGACTAAGCAAGTTACTTCACACCCGCAAAACCAATGAGTGATAAACTAAACATCCCACTTGTTTTGCTTGAAGAGTAAGTGGCTTTCTTGCAGAAAGAAAACAAACAAACTCGTCCAAGACATCATCAAGATACCTTCTAGACTAAGGAGTACATCTTGATATAGTCTGTTGACCTATAGAATTGTCTCTGTCTCAATCTCTGTCTCCATTCACCCACCAACAACTCATCCACCCACCCAACCAACCAACCATCCATCTCTCTTGTGCATCACTCCTTCCATTCATCAATCCCTCCTTCCATTCACTATCTATCTACCTCTACAATCCATCCATCTACCCCCTCTCTCTTGTTTCTCCCTTCTTCACCCATCCCTCCTTCTTTCCCTCCATCCTTCCATCTAACTGTATCATCTTTTATCTACCTATCATCTATCATCTATCTATCCAACTCATCTCTCTTTTTTTCTCTATCATCCATCCATCCACCTCTCTCATGCATCCCTGCCTCCCTCCTCCCCTCCCTCCTTCCATTTACCTCTATCATCTATCTTATCTACCTATCATCTATCTACCCACCTCTCTCTCTCCCATGCATCCCTCCCTCCCTTCTTCCTTCCATACATCTATCATTCATGTCTGTCTGTCCATCCATCCATCCATCCATCCATCCATCCATCCATCTCTCCTATCTATCTATCTGTCTGTCTGTCTGTCTGTCTGTCTATTCTCTCTCTCTCTATCTATCCATCCATGCATCCATCCAGTCGTGGTCTACTACAGCTGTTTGCTCAGCTTCTGCTCACTCCCTTCTTACCTCCCGGGTCTCGTTGTCCTGGATGAGCATATATAACGGGACAATATGGTTGATCTCCAGAAGGACCGGGGTGGGACTCAGCTGTTCCTTGCCTGCCCGGCGGCAGAGATGGCAAGTCGAAGGGCAGCGGCCTTTTTCTTCGCAGTGGATCTCCACGCCAGAAACCAGCTGATCGTCGGACAGCATCTGGGCCGTCAGCAGGCCAGATAGATAGGTGATGAAAGGCATGGACTTGAGCTCTTTCTTGTTTCCAAGTTCTGTAGTTTCTGATTGGGAAACAAAGCAGGGAGGGAAGGAGAGAGGATTAAAGAAGGAAAAGGTCATTTCTGGCTGCAGGGAGATTTTATGCATTAAATAAATGTATCACTTAATAAAGGAGATGTAGTGACTCAAAGGGGACACGGTGGCTCAGTGGCTAAGATGCTGAGCTTGTCAATCAAAAAGGTCGGCAGTTCGGCGGTTCGAATCCCTAGTTCCACGTAACGGTGAGCTCCCATTACTTGTCCCAGCTCCTGCCAACCTAGCAGTTCAAAAGCATGTAAAAAATGCAAGTAGAAAAATAGGGACCACCTTTGGTGGGAAGGGAACAGCATTGCGTGCGTCTTTGGCGTTGAGTCATGCCGGCCACATGACCACGGAGACGTCTTTGGACAGCACTGGCTTTTCGGCTTTGAAATGGAGATGAGCACTGCCCCCTAGAGTCGGGTACGACTGGCACACTTTTACCGTTACCTTATCCCTTAATAAGATGTACTATTCTGTATATAAAAGGAAATTCCTTTGCAGTTTGACATATGGATGCTGCAGAAGTTGTTCTTTTGTTCTGACCAGGAAGTTAAACCTGATGAATTTCAGGATCTTTGCAAAGTCCCAAACACACAACCTCTAATCTATTTCGTATCATCTTTCCTAAGGCCCATCTTTAACTTCCTTTTGGTGATGCATTTTCTGGATAGTTGGGCCTATCTGAAACCCCAAATTTAGACCTCTCTTTTATTTCTAAGGCATGTCTTTGTGGACAGGAGTGGGCTTGTAAGTATAAATGATCCCAGATAAGTTTAACTAAACCTACCTTCCATTTACAGTAGTGGCCAAAATTGTGGAAACGTTTTGGGGAAAGTGTATTTTCTAAAACTAGCTAATAACACCACTTTTTTTTTTTTTTTGGAGTAGTACCATAAAATTTTATATCAATAGAAATGAATTGTATTCAAGAATGTAATGCAATAACTTTTATGAAGGATTTGCTACTAGCAGTCACAGTATAAAGAAGAAGAGTTAAAAACATAGGGAAAAAAATGAGATTATACAAAAGTTATCACCATAGAAAAAACAAGCCATACAAAAATGATCGCCATATCAGGGAGGGTGGGGAGGGAATGGATTGAATTCAGTGAGATATTGGGAGGGGGGCTCAAAGTAACGCAAGAGCAGCAACTCGGAGCCTGCGACTATGCCAGTGTTTCAAGGTCAATCCCTGAGAAAGTCTACTCCACGAAGAGGTGGAAACTAATCAAGGAGAGAAGCAACTTAGAACTAAGGAGTAATTTTCTGACTGTGAGAACAATTAATCAGTGGAACAACTTGCCACCAGAAATTGTAAATGCTCCAACACTGGAAGTTTTTAAGAAGAGGTTGGATAACCATTTGTCTAAAGTGGTGTGGGATTTTCATCCTAAGCAGGGGGTTGGACTAGAAGACCTCCAAGGTCCCTTCCAACTCTGTTATTCTATTCTATTCTATTCTATTCTATTCTATTCTATTCTATTCTATTCTATTCTATTCTACTCTACTCTACTCTACTCTACTCTACTCTACTCTACTCTCTACTCTCCTCTCCTCCTTATTCTACTCTACTCTACTCTAACCTAATTCTACTCTGCTCTGCTCTGCTCCAAAGTTTTCTTTTTTTTTCTGGATTAATAAGAAAAAGAGCCAAGCTTAATAGAAGAAGAAAAGAAAAAAAAAGATGGAGAGAGAAGGGGAAAAAAAAACCTTTTAAGCAATTTCTTTCACTTATTGCCCTGAAATGTTTGGAAACAGCACCTATAATCTATTCTATTCTATTCTATTCTATTCTATTCTATTCTATTCTATTCTATTCTATTCTATTCTCCCCCCCCCAAAAAAAAATGAACATAGTGACTTGGAGGAAAGGAAATGACTGTAGGAGGGGCCAGTGGGGAAAGGGGAATGTTTCATGATGCTATTTGTACGTGAAACTGTTAGAATTGGCTTTGCTGCTCCCATATCCATGCCAGCTCAGTACTCTTGGAAACCCAAAATGCCTGCACGGTGTCTTTATTTGCTGAATAAACTACGTGACACCATTCACAATGCCCCTTGTTGGGAGCATTGCATTGTGTCCTTTTTTTTAAATACACACACAGATACAGATAGATCTTCTTCTTCCCCAAACAATGAGAAACAGAGGCTGTTAAGGATATTGTTGTTGTGTTACCAACCAGCAGAGTGTAGAGCACAGAGAAACGTTGCTGAGAGCAAGGAATAAGAGATGTGCAAACTGGTTTATCAAAAGTTTACTTTATAGTGAAAAAACAATCTCATAGTCTTTAAATCAACCCAAGTCTTTGCCAGTTAAATCAGTCCAGTGAAACAAAATCTTCTTACCACACAAATAGTAGTTGGTTAGAATAACAAACTCACTCTGGTTCACAAACCACGATGGTAGCACAATGAATAGCAACTCCTCACACTATGGTAGCTTATCATCAACTGAATACGTTACAGTACCTATCTTATTCTATTCTATTCTATTCTATTCTATTCTATTCTATTCTATTCTATTCTATTCTATTATTCTATTCTATTCTATTCTACATTACTATATTCTATATTCTACTCTACTCTACTCTACTTTCTATATTCTATATTCTATATTCTGTTAAGGATATTGTTGTTGTGTTACCAACCAGCAGAGTGTAGAGCACAGAGAAACGTTGCTGAGAGCAATGAATAAGAGATGTGCAAACTGGTTTATCAAAAGTTTACTTTATAGTGAAAAAACAATCTCATAGCTTTAAATCAATCCAAGTCTTTAAAAGGATTAAAGACTTTTGGATTAAAGACTTTTAAAAGTCTTTAAAAGACTGATTTAACTGCAGTTAAATCAGTCCAGTGATACAAAAATCTTCTTACCACACAAACAGTAGTTGGTTAGAATAACAAACTCACTCTGGTTCACAAACCACGATGGTGGCACAATGAATAGCACCTCCTCACACTATGGTAGCTTATCATTAACTGAATACGTTACAGTACCTATTCTATTCTATTCTATTCTATTCTATTCTATTCTATTCTATTCTATTCTATTCTATTCTATTCTATTCTACTATTCTATTCTATTATTCTATTCTATTCTATTCTATTCTATTCTATTCTATTCTATTCTATTCTCTATTCTATTCTATTCTATTCTATTCTACATTACTATATTCTATATTCTACTCTACTCTACTCTACTCTACTTTCTATATTCTATATTCTATATTCTGTTAAGGATATTGTTGTTGTGTTACCAACCAGCAGAGAGTAGAGCACAGAGAAAAGTTGCTGAGAGCAATGAATAAGAGATGTGCAAACTGGTTTATCAAAAGTTTACTTTATAGTGAAAAAAACAATCTCATAGTCTTTAAATCAATCCAAGTCTTTAAAAGGATTAAAGACTTTTGGATTAAAGACTTTTAAAAGTCTTTAAAAGACTGATTTAACTGCAGTTAAATCAGTCCAGTGATACAAAAATCTTCTTACCACAGAAACAGTAGTTGGTTAGAATAACAAACTCACTCTGGTTCACAAACCACGATGGTAGCACAATGAATAGCAACTCCTCACACTATGGTAGCTTATCATCAACTGAATACGTTACAGTACCTTACTTAAATACCTTCCAACTAATTACAGCATGACTCAGCTGTACAATGAATCAACAGGAAAGCCTTAAAGTCACACAATACATTTTCATATTAAAGTCACAAAACACATATATTGCCTGGACAACTTGTTAGGCTCAAACCATATCCTAACAGAGGCGACAATCGCTGGCAAAAAATTTCTTGGGCAAACTTTCAGAAGTTTCCTCAAAGAACTTCCTCAAAGTTTCCTCCTTGCCCGTGGCAAGATACGATCATCCAGCTTGGCAATTAGGAAAGGATAAGAGGAGAAATAAGCGCACTCATCTCTTAAAGGGGTTGGAGGTCTCCTACCTCAAAACTCCAACCTCATTTTTTTTTTTTTTTTGCTGTAAGCCGCCCAGAGTCCCTTGGAAGTTGGGTGGCATAGAAATGCGATAAATTAAAATTAAATTAAATTAAATTGCTTTGCCGCCAGGAAAAAAAAGAGAAGCAACATGTTGCTGGATCAAAAACAATGGAAGGAGCGATTGTGCGGAATTTCCATGGGCTTAACGCAAGGGTTGAGATTCCGAAGAGAAACAGAGCGAGGCCTACGGAAGAGGCATCTCACACCACGGAGGAGGAGGTGGTGAAAGCGGCAGAGAATAAGGAGGTGCAGAAAATTGGGATGTAGCAGGCAAGGACAATGCATTTAAAGGGATGCCCCAAAGAAGAGGGAGTCAAGCTAAACTCCTGATCTAGCCCAAGCCCCTTAAAGCAGGAGATCCTATATGACTTCTGACAAAATGGCTGCCCAGTCTCTTCTTCAAAGCCCCCAGCGATGAAACACCCACTATTTCTGTTCCGTGGGTTGATTGTTCTGTCAGGAAATTCCTCCTTATCTCTCCTTGATCCATTCCTATCAACCTTAGCCTTTAGCCTGACTAGGTGGCTCAGTGTTTAAGACACAGAAAGGTTGGCAGTTCGAATCCCTATACTAGGGAGTCTCCTGTGTGACTTGGGGTTGGGCTAGATGACCTCCAAGGTCCCTTCCATCTCTGTTACTGTTACTGTTAGTTGGGCTAAATGACTATTCAATATGCAAATGTGAATAACACACACACACACCCCTCCAAAGCGTGAAAGGACTTAAGCACAGATGTGGTAAATGAATATATATTCATATACTCATATTCATATAGCCTGAGTGGCGTAGGAGGCTAATGCCTCCTACTAAGGCAGCATTTAACATCCAGCTGCCTGCAATTACTGCGAGTTCAATTCTCACCAGGCTCAAGGTCGACTCAGCCTTCCATCCTTTCTAAGGTAGGTGAAATGAGGACCCAGTTTGTGGGGGCAATAAGCTGACTTTGTATAAATATACAAAAGTATGAAGGCTATTTTCTTTT